CAGGGCCTTGGATGATCTCCAAAGGCAGCTGGTTTTTCCCACCCATCCCCTCCCAGTGCCAGCAAGCATCCAGGACTATTTCCCAAAGCCATCGTGGTGGCCGTCACAATCACAAGATAGGTAGCTCATCCAAGAGGGAAGCAGAAACTCACCAAGAAGAAAATGACTCATCTGGTGCTGATCAGCCTGCCCCTTCCTTGTCTGAAAGAAGAGGGGCCTCCACGAGCCCAAAGGACCCTTATGAGGTAAAGCTGTGAGTTAGGATGCAAGGAGGTACCTGAAGGTACCTGTGAGTTAGGATGCAAGGAGGTACCAGGACGAACTGGGCCCTGGAGCTTAAGGAAAAAATGAACCAGCCAGTCTAAGAGGAGAATAGAGGCCTATAAAGAAAGCTGGCCATTGCATTCATTTGTATCTATATGCAAAAACTAGCGCACCTGTACTTTTCCTACTCAGCTATGGTATTTCCTACTTGTCTATGGTTAACATTGTTGTATACTAGAGCTTTGCACCTCATTACAGGGGATAGGGGTACGGGGAGAAGCCAAAAGCAAAGACCATGGTCCTACGGTCCCAGTCTAGGGGGCCCCGATCTGTGGGGAAAGCTGTGCTCAGTGAATCTTATCTGTAACAAGAGGCAGATGGGTCTGCAAGGTCCCCACCGCCTCTCTCATTTTATGGATCAGTGAATACTGTGCATCTTTTTTTTTTGACTATGTTATGGGTGATTTCAACCCAACTGGACACTAGTCCATTTGTCCCCACTTGGGCTGATTTACATAGCCTTTATCTTGGGTTCCAGGCCCTGGAACACTCTGTCTCTGTTCAACCTTCCCAGTTCCTAAAACCACAAGAGAGCAGCCATTGTGCTTTGCTATCTTCAGGCATTTGTGTTTTCCTTTCAAAACAATGCAATTAGCATTCATTAGGGCTTGGAAGCCATCCACTGTCATTCTCCCTCCCTGGTTACTCTCTCCAGGAGCCCCAGCCAGCAGCAGGGACAGACACATTGCTCCAGGAGCATTTTTTTGAAGATCTGAGGGGCTTAAACATCTGTTCTTCCACCCCTGTTTAATATTCCATTTCACAGACCCTCCAGGGGCTCCTCTTCACAGCAGCTGTCGGAAATGTTTCTTGCACACAGACTTGCGCCATTTGCTCGGGGTGGGTTCTGTGCAAAAAAACAATGTCTGCAACCCAAAGGGAGAACGAACGTGTCCATGATCCACTTCAAGAAGTACTTACTAGTCACCTGCTAAAGGCGATGCCCTGTTCCGCGTGCTGGGAGAGCAATGGAGAAGTGATGAACGTTTAGAAGGGGAGAGACAGAGGAGGGAAGAGGAGAGGGAGAAAGCTAGCAAAGGAAAGACAGAAACAGAAAGAGAAAAGAGAAGCATCTGACTTTCAGTACTCGATTTGTTCTGCAGAATAGAAGGTACCTTTTTATTCCGTATGTAAACCACAAACACAGTCAACAGTAATTATAACAATGACATAATGATATAATCAAATAGAAAAATAATATATCATAGTTATAATGACATCATGATGATGCTAATGATGAAGATAACTAAGTAGGGAGGCTGAGAGAGCTCTGGGCCTGGAATTAAGAAGACCTGAGTTTGAATCCTTACTCAGACACCTACTAGCTGTGTGATTCTGGGCAAGTTATTTAACCTCTGTTTGCCTCAGTTTCCTCATCTGTAAAACAGAAATAATAAGAGAACTACCTCCCGGGGTTGCTGTGAGGATAAAGACGAAATATTTGTAAAGTGCTTTGAGAAATGCTTGCCATTATTGGCATTTATTTGGGGCTTTGAGGTTTGCAAAACACAATACCGTTATTTTCTAATTAGATTAGTTCCTAGAGGTAACTTGGCTTTGTGGCTAGGGTGAGAGATTTGGAATTCGGAGGACCTGGATTTGAATCCCACCTGGGGCATCCACTGGTGTCCCAGTTAAGTTAGTACTATCCGTAGTGCCCTATTCACAGTGGGGACAGCATTTCAGGAAACATTGAGGTCTATGCCAACATCGGGTACTCTTGAATGAGGTCTCGGACATAGTCTACTGGGTGGAACAGTGAACTGGTCTGTGGATGGAGAAGGATAACCGCTCTCACCAGAGGCCCATTTGGTTCTCCCACCACTAGTCGGATGGGACCAAGAAGAGAATGATGAAATTAGGCATGAAATGACATAATTCCGTGCTCTGGGGTCTGCAGCACAGGCCCCACAATCACAAAGGTTTGGGAAAAACAGCGCCCTGAATAAATAGAATGGTAGAAGAATAGAGATGCCCACGCCTCTTTCTATTGATTACATCACTAACAGGCCGTGTCTTTAAAAGGACCACACCTGGACACTCAAGCTGTCTTTCCAGCTCCATCCAGAAAAGATGAAGGTCTGAGTTCGCCCCCAGCCTTGGTGCCATGAACTAGCTGGGGGAGGGGAAAGGCTGCCTTTCCCTCCCTCTCCCTTTTACCCTGTGGACTCAGAAACAGACTTGGGCGGGGGGGGGGGGGGGGGGGGTTTGCTTTGGTTTCTTCCACTTCCTTATTCCTCATTTCCAGGTGTAGGAGGTGGCCTTGGAAGCAGAATTCCAGAGAAGCCTTGGGTTTGGAGCTCGGTGGGACTGTGTTATATAGAACTAAACTAAGCTGTGAATTGAATTCCCTTCCTTTCTCAGAGTATGAAGTGGTGTAGGGAGTGAATTATACCTCTGGGTATTTAGGTGAATGTTTATGTGTTTATTTTTGCAGTATCTTTGAAGTAAATATCTCTTTGTAAGATTAATTCAGGGGCAGGTAGGTGGCCCAGTGGATAGAGTGTTGAGTCTAGAGTCAGGAAGACTCCTCTTTCTGAGTTCAAACCCAGCCTCAGACACTTACTAGCTGTGTGATCCTGGGCAAGTCACTTAATTCTGTTTGCCTCAGTTTCCTCATCTGTAATGTGAACTGGAAAAGAAAATGGCAAACCACTCCAGTATCTTCGCCAAGAAAACCCTAAATGGGGTCATGAAGAGTCGGGCATGACTGAAACAACCAAATCACAAAGGTTACCACAACTATTAAGTGGTACAGAGGGCCTCTAGAATGAAGGGAACACCATTGGTGAGCTAGAACCAATAGCAGAGATACTGGACACCCCACAAATCCCCTGGGAGGTCCCGGGAGACTGTGAGAGGGGTGAAATGGAACCTATCTGGCCTTCTGACAGTGCAGGCCAGGGTAATCACTGTGACATCTAAATTGTCTACATCACCTCCTCCCTTTCCATCAACACGTGTGCCTGACTCAGTCATTTGTTTGATGGCTTTTTAGACTCCTGTTCCCCACCTTATTAGGGCTTGGAGTTCAGTAGCCACTCAGAAACCCAGTCCCAATACTGGTCAGTATGAAATTTGAATCTGATCCATTTTTTTCTGGGCTCCTTTACTCCATCTTGGGCAGCCTAGTATGCCTCCACACCACAGGAGTTCCCATGTTGGTGCTGGTTTCAGTGTGGATACTTAATCCCTTTAATCTGTCTTTGGCGACCCAGAAGCCCCAAGTCAATGGGTCAGCCTGAGCCTCCCCACAAGCTGAGATTACAAGCCTGAGCCACCACCCCCAGCCCTCAAGACTGCTTTGCTGACATATGGCTGTGTTCATGTGGATGCCGGCCAAGGAGAGCTTTCTGACCCACGTTTATGATTATCATGATTGTTGTTATTAATTTTACTAGTAGTAACTGGCATTTATATGTCTCTTGAAAGTCTTTAAAGCATATTAAAGTATCTAATTACTTTCCATTGAAATAATGAAGTTAAGCTCAGGCTGTATTTATCTTTCTGAATCACTACTTCTCGCTTCTCCAATGTCGTCTTGTAGTGTGGTCGTAACTGTGAGTTTTTAAGTGTTTTTGTCAGCTGCTCACCCAAAGCCTCCAATCCGGAGAGCGAGATGGGTTTTGTAGCTAGAAGACCAGGCTGGCTAACGGGGGAGAGAGAGTTTTCAAAGTAACCTTCCTAATGTATCGCTCCCTCACTCAGTAAACTCCGCTGGCTCCCTATAACCTCTGGGACTAAACACAAAATTCTCCATTTGGTTTTTAAAGTCCTTCATAAGCTGGACTTCCCATACCTTTGGTCTTCTTCCACCTGACTCAGATCCACATATTCTGAAATCCAAGGACCCTGGTTTTCTTGCTCTTTCCTAACCCCGTTCTTTTTCTCTGGCTGTTCCTGGCATTGCTGGCTTCTTCCCAATCACAGCTCAAGTCTCATCTTCTACGGCAAACCTTTCCTACTCCTCCTAAATCTTAGTGTCTTCCAAGAACCTCTCTGACCATCTATCTCTTGTTTACACACGCACAGCTGTTTGCGGGTAGTCGCCTCATTAGACTGTGAGCTGCTTGAGGAAAGTGACCTTGCTGCCTTTTTGAGGAGCGTCTCAGCTTATAGTACAATGTCTGGCTCTTACTGGGCACTTAATAAAATGCTTCTTTTTATGATTCCTCTTCCAGCTCATTTGATAGATGAAGAACTGAGACAAACAGGATTAAGTGACTTGCCCAGGGTCATGCAGCTATTAAGTGTCTGAGGCTGGATTTGAACTAATGAAGATGAGTCTTCCTGATTACAGGCCCAGTGTTCTATCCACTGTGCCACCTAGCTTCCTAATAAATACATTCATTCCCCCAAACGGTAACATCAATATCAGTCCTCTGCCAATAAGGCAGAAAAATACTTCTTTTTAGTAGCAAAATGACCCTTCCTCTTTGGCAGTGTGATTCAGTCCTGGGCGTTAATTCTGAACAGTACCATTGCATAGCAACAAAATATATTAAATTAAATGTGGTGTACTACCTCGTAAATAGCCCTTGGTTCTTTTGGCTTTTCTTGTCTTTTAAAAATTGATCTGTCCCTCCCACTACCTTCCCCTGTAAAGCAAATTAAAAAAAAAAAAAAACACCCAATGCATAGTTGTATGGTCTAGACAAACAAATTCCTACATTGGCCATTTTTGAAAATGTGTGTTCCTATTTTAAGTTCATTTTCTTGGCAAATTCTTGAAGGGCCGTATAAATGTAGGTTATTTGTATGCACTCACAGCCAGAAGGCTGGTGACCAGGTCTGCAACTGTTGGGCGGTTCCGGAAACAGATAAGCATCCATGTGTTGGTCAAGGGCACACCCATGGTGATGAAATCATAGGTCTTTCAGAGGATCAAAGTTTCCCGAGTTATTTCATCACATCTGCTGTTGAGGGGGAAAAAAATTGGAACTTTGAAAGAAATTCCCTATTTTTGACATCCTAAAAGTGGGCTTGGGAAAAAAAAAATCAAGGATAGCCCTATGCAAGGGGAGGGTGGTTTCTTCAAAGTCACTATCATAACATTTGGTTCCCACGAAAATTAAGTGTTGTTTCTCTCCTCCAATTTTCTAGGAGTCAGCAAAGTTAACAAGCGTTTTTTAAATGCTATGTTCCAAGCTCTGTGCCACAGGCTGGGGGCACAGATGAAGGCAAAAACAGGATGCCTGATCTCAGGGAGCTGATGTTCTAATGGAGGAGACAACATAGAAACCAGCATGTACACACTAGATATCCTATGGGATATGGGGGCTCATTGTAGGGGGGTGGGATGGGGAAAGTGGGATTTGAACTGAATCTTACAGGAAGCCAGGGAAGCCAGGAGGCAGAGGTAAGGAGGGAAAACACTTCAGTCACTGGGGAGAACCAGCCAGTAAATAGGCATAGTCAAGCGCTTGAGTGCCATGTGCAAGGAACCAAAGGAAGCCAGAGTCCCTGGATTGGAGAGTCCACGGAAGGGAGGCAGGTGTAAGAAGACAGGAAAGGCCAGCTTGTGAAGGGCTTGGGAAGCCATAGGATTTTGTATTTGGTCATGGAGGTAACAGGAAGCCACTGGAGTTTCTTAAGTAGGGGGTAAGAGATGGCTAGAACTGTGGTTTAGGAGAATCACTTTGGCAGATGAGTGGAGGCTGGACTGGAGCGGGGAGAGATTTGAAGCAGAGAAACTGCTGGAAGCTGCCTGCGATGATCCAGGTAGGATGTAACAAGGACCTACACCAGGGTGAAGGCTATAACAGGGGAGAGAAAGGGATGCTTCTTTCTGAGTTTCCCTTTGCCCCAACTTCCTCTTGCCTGTAGTATATTTAATGTGCGCATATCACACACTCCTGGAATTAATGAACAAGCATTTATTGGCTGATGTTCTAGAAGTCTTAGTAGAGCTTTAAGTTTGGGTGTAGCTTAAAACATATCCATCACTGGGCTAGGAGTGAGGTAAACAAAGGCAAAAAAAAAACCAAAAAAAAAACCAAGCCTTGCCCTCAGGGAGCTTACATTTCAGCAGGGAATACTACATGTACATAAACATATAATGTGTATCCTTAGAAATACAAAAGCATTTTGGAGGGGGGGAGAAGCTTTTCTCCCCCTTCCATAATACTATATTTCTTTCTTGATTTGTCAGCATTTCCATCTGTAGAATTTAGTACCTTCATGTGGTTTTTCTCTACTGGTAAATTTCTTCATGGAGTAGGAAGAAGGATTTTGTCCACACTCGATTCCTTTGGACAATAACCAGAGGAAACAATGTAAATAGCACACAGTTCAACCTGTCCACTCTTTCATCTTTCTACACCTGCTGAAGTCACTTCTCTTCACATGGACCCAAGTCTTCCAGTGCATCTGGGATTTCACCAATGTGGCCATTCCCTCCAGCGACAGAGATTGGACTGCACAACCTATGTGATTCCCATAAGTTTTCTGCAGAGAGACAACTCAGTGCACTAGAGAGGTGGGGAGGAGAGGGCATTGTCAACTTCTCTTGATTTATGAGGATGCTAATGGGGGCCATGGGGCATCTACTCCTTGCTCTCTCCACAGGAGGAGCCCCTTGTCTTTTTTTTTCCCATCATTTATTGCTGTGATGACATTCATATGTCACTCTCCCTTCCTCATTCCTTGAGCGTGATGTGTTGCATTCAACTCTCACCCACCATGTGCCTCTCTATTGCCCTATTGGTGATCTGCAATTCCATTTCTTCAGAGACAATAGAGTTCCTTGATTCTTACCTGTCTGACATGTCAGTATTAAACAAAAAGATGGGCCCCCGGATTAGAGAGACGTAAGGGAAGTTGATCCGTGTTTCAGGGAACAGAGTTAAAGCCCTCTTAGATGAGCCTGGAAGTCAACAAAACAAGCCAACAATCCATGTGACCTATCAGGGAAACAAAAACACGTTTCCCCAAAGAAAGGAGAGCTCCACTTGTCTTTGAAGAACGCCATCAGCAGGCCAGTGGGGTCACCTTCTAATGGCTTTGAAGAAGACCCTCACTTGACTGACCATCATATCTCTGAAGTGGTCCCCCATCAGGAAATAGAAAAGAGGATTGATCACACTGTTCAGAAAGGCCAAGGGTCGGGTCAGAATGTAGAATGTGTTGATAGCGACCTGTGAGCATTCGCTCTGCTTCCAGACCTCAAGGCGGGAAGCTATCCTTACATTTCGCATGATGTGGTAGGGGGTAAAGATAACTGAGAATATCACCACTGCCATGATGACCAAGTTGAGAGGTTTCTCAAGGGGGAGTGCAGTAGTGAGCTGTCTGCTTCTCTCCTTTAGGAAAAGGGCAATTTTTAGGTAAAAGAAACACATGACGAAGAGTGGAAGGAGGAACCCTAGCCCGGTCAGACACACACTATAGATAAGGTTATATTTGGGATCTCCAGAGCTCGCGTAGTCATTACAGGTGGTGCCATTGTTTACTGTGGTTGGCTCAATGAAAAGGAGGATTGGTAGAAGCTCAAGGGTCACCCAAATCCAAATGGCTACTGAGATCAAGATAGAAACTTCTTTCTTTTGCAGGAAATGTTCTCGGAAGGGATATTTCATCAACAGGTACCAGTCAATACTGATAAATGTAAGGAAAAGGATGCTCGTATACAAGTTGGCATGGAGGAAGTACCTGTTACTCATGCACAGGATGTTCCCATATGTCCATTTCCCATTGGCATACCATCTCACCAACATGGGGAGTGTACACAGAAAGGCAAGGTCAGAAAGGGAGAGATTGAACAGGTAAATGTTGCCGCTTTTCCAGTTTCTCAGACAGAAGACATAGCCCAAGACAACAGCTATGTTCCCAAGGATGCCAATGACAAACTCAATGGAATAGATGGTAGGAAGAAAGTCCTTTTCTAGGATTGCCTCTACTCCCAGCCATTTCTCACAAGTTGTCAAGTTCTTATCCTGAGCAAGAGAAAGAAGGAAAAAATATTAGGAACAAATTACAACATTTTTACTCTATGAGATCAAAACTGTGTGATAGAACCCAAACCTTAATACTTCTGTGACCCCAGGCAAGTCATTTAAACTCTCCAGGCCACCATTTCCTCATCCACAAAACGAGAGGGTTGAAGTAGCCTCAGGTCCCATCGAGCTCTAAATCTATGATCCAATGTATATTTTAAAAGTAAAAAACGGTCTCAGCGAAAACAAAACAAATTATAACAAATCACAGCAATTGAATCATTGAGATCCTATTTTCTGGGAAACAGGGTAGAATTGCATCTCTGTGTGACTTTAAAAAGCAACGACAAGTATTTTTGGACAATTCTGGCCCAAACATTCACACGTCCTTCATCCATAAGGCGCCAATGGTCTTAGTTGTGTCAACTGAGCTGGGCTCAAATCCCAGCTCTCCTTTCATGGCCTAGGTCAATTGAATGTCACTCCTCCTTTCTATGCCTCAGCTTCGTCATCTTGTAGATGAATGGCTCCAAGTAGCTAAGGTGCTCTCCAGTTTCAAAAATCTATGACCTGTCATCTTCCAATCTATAAGTACTACTTTCATGTACCTACCTGAATTACCTGAGAAGTAATAACTTTGCAGACCAGCCTTGTGAGTGCTACCTTTCAAATCTGACTCTAATCTGTCTTTCCAGATTTGTTTCAGATTAGTTCCAATCTACATTCCCTCAAAACTAAGCTACACAATTCTCTTCCACATATTTGCAAAGGCTGATCCCGTCCTTGGAATGGTCTCCAGTGTCATCTTGGCTTCTTGGAAGGCCTAGCTTCTTTCAAGACTCAGTTTAAGGAACACATCCTAGAAGAGGCCTTTGGTGATTCCCCCACTTAATTACTTGGTATTCTCTATATTACATATTTACTCATCCGTATATATGTTGTTTCTGACCAGACTGTCAGCTTCTAGAGAGTTTGAAAATTTTCTTTTTGTCTCTATATCTGCAGCTAGAATAGTATATGGCTAATAACAAATGTTTTGTTAAATTGCTGAGACGAACATCATGGACAGAGCTTGACACTTGGAATTGGGAAATTCCCAAATTCAAATTCTGCCTCAGACACTTCCTTGATGTGTGACTCCAGGCCAGTCACATAACCTCTCTGTGACTCAGTTTCCTCATTGCAAAATGGAAATAATAATAGTATCTACTTCATAGATGATTCTCTCTATATGTATTAATATATATAGATACGGTGCTTTAAGTCTTCTTGATTTTAAAGTGCTATAAAAATGTTAACTACTAGTATTAATATTGAATCCTTAAATAGCTTCGAGGTCAACAATAACATTTTCTCTTCAAAACTTATTTTGAAAGTCTTCTGAGGCTTAAGGACAATCAGGCAATGCCTTCAACCTTGTAATTTGGGAAATTAACTAAAAATAAGAGTGGGCATTTTATCTTCTAAAAAATATACAAGTGCAAACATAAAGCAAAATTAGTTACATCTGATGTTCGTTAATCCTGAAGCTTTCACAAAACAAGCCCATTTGTCAAGTTTGGAAGAGCTGATTTCCATGGTTTGAGGAAGTTCCTGGGAACTGCAATATGGGATAAGTCTAACTAACATATAAGTACCACTTGTTGCTTCTTTATTCAGAGATTTCCTTGCATAATGAGACAAACACGGCTTCTAGAAATCGTTTTAAATTTATTACGTGTCCCCTGAAGAAGAAAGAGGAATTTTTCCTGAATAAGTTTGTATCAATTACATGCAATCATAGAATACCATGTGGGACCTAAAAAATGGGGACAAGATGGGGCATACCAGCAAACATGCTAGGAAAAAAGTCCCCCAGCACAAACCTTTTAAAAATGCAACATTTCCCCTTATATTTTCCTCCCAAATGTTCCAGTTAGGAGCCCCCTTAGTCAGAGGTAAATGCAAAAGTTCAAACCAGAGACCCATCCACCAGTGCTCTCAAGTTCAGCAGCGCCATCTTGGGTACAGTGGTTGAAAATACATGCAGCAGCAATATCTAATTTTTATAGTCTTAGAATTGGAAAGCCCTTCATACATATTATCTTTGATGCTCACAAGGACACTGTTGGTGGAACTGCAAATTGGTTCCACTATTGAATGATTTAATTTTTTTATTATTCAGTTTACCATTTTATTTTCCCCCCTTTTTGCACTTAATAATGTTTTATTTTTTTCCAGTTACATGTAAAGATAGTTTTTAATATTCATTTTTGTAAGATTTTGAGTTCCAAATTTTTCCCTCCCTTCCTTCCCTTCCTCCTCCCCAAGAGAGCAAGCAATCTGATATAGGTTATACATGTACAAACATGTTCAACATATTTCCACATTAGCCATGTTGTGGAAGAAGAATCAGAACAAAAGGGGAAAACCATGAGAAAGAAAAAAACAACAAAAAAGTGAAAATAGTCTGCTTCAATCTGCATTCAGACTCTATGGTTCTTTCTCTGAATGTGAATACCATTTTCCATCATAAGTGTTTTGGAATTGTCTTGGTTCATTGTGTGGTTGAGAAGACCTAAATTTATCATAGTTGATCATTGCACAATGCTGCGGTTACTGTGTACCGCGTTCTCCTGGTTCTGCTCACTTCACTCAGCGTCAGTTCATCTAAGTCTTTCCAGGTTTTTCTGAAATTCATCTGCTCATCATTTCTTATAGAAAAGTATTCCATTCCATTCATATACCACAACTTATTCAGTCATTCCTCAACTGATGGACATACTTCAATTTCCCACTCTTTGCCACCACATAAAGAGCTACTATAAATATTTTTGTGCATGTGGGTCCTTTTTCTTTTTTTATGATCTCTTTGGGACACAGGCCTAGCAGTAGTATTGTTGGATCAAAGGGTATGCACAGTTTTACAGCCCTTTGGGCGTAATTCCAAATTTCTCTCCAACCTAGCTAAATCAATTCACAATTCCATCAACAAAGCACTAGTGTTCCAATTTTCCCACAGCTGCTCCAACATTTATCATTTTCTTTTCTTGTCCTATTAGCCAATCTGATAGGTGTGAGGTGGTACCTCAGAGTTGTTTTAATTTGCGTTTCTCTAATCAATAGTGATTTAGAGCATTTTGAATGAAGCATTTATTAAGCCATGTGAAAAGCTCTGTGATAAGCACTGGAAAGACAGAAAAGTAAGATGGTCTTTTTCTCAAAGAACTCTTTTTAATGGGGGAGATAATACATATAGCAGCTTTCAGCTCCAAGTGACATGGAAAGGACCCATGGTCCTTAAGGAGCAGTGTCAAGGCAGATGTTACTGCTTTTCAAAGCTTTTGTGGCATTCTCACTGATAAAATCTTATCCGTTTTTATGTTGAACCATTTGACAATGCTAAAGATTTTGGTGAGAGGAACCATTTTGGAGAGTAACTTGAAATTATGCTAAAAATAAAAAAGTAACTACAATGCCCATGAGATCCTGCTGCTACACATACATACACACACATACACACACACACACAGTGTGTATATACATACATACCTTAATAGCCTAAAACTATACTGACTTTTGAGTCACCCTGTTTACATACATACATATATACATGCATATGTGCATATACCTATATATGTGCACACACATACATGTGTATATATACATGCACACATGTATATATACACACACATATATATGTAAGTATGTGTGTGTGTTTATATACAGTGACCCAGAAGTCTTAGTGTGGTTTTAAGCTATTAAGGTTTAAAACTAAGACTTTTGAGACAGTCTATATATCTATCTCAAGGGGCTCAGAGACAGAAATAATGGTTCCATATGTACCAGAATATTCGTAGTAGTCCTTTATCAATATTAGCAAAAAACCGGAAACACAGTAGATGCTAATCAATTGGAGATCGGCAAAATAAATTATGAGAGGGTAAATGGAACAGAATATTCCTAGATCTTAAGAAAGAGCAATTCTGAAGAATTCAGAAAAGCATGTGAAGACTAATGAGAACTGATACAGAGTAAAATAAGCAGGAAAGCATTCCCATTATTACAACAATATAAATGGAAAGAACGACCCCCAAAACAGACCAAGTGTTATATAACGGTAATGATTGAGCTTGGCCTTGGAGAAGAGATGGGAAAATATACTTCCCTCCCTCATTTGGAGAGGTGAAATATTGCTGGTGTGGAATGCTGCATCAGACTGAGCTGATGCATTCTAGTTTTGTTAATTGATCTTTCTACTATTTTTTTAAAAATTCTTTGTTGCAAGGGGTAATTCCTGAGTAGGAGTGGAGGGCAGATATTTGGAGATGGAGGAAAATAAAAGTTAGCATTATAGAGTTGTTTTAAAAAGTCTTTTTAAGAAATGAACATGTAATGGGCTGGCTTGAAACAAAAATTTCATGTACCAAAATGAAAAATTATTAGTTTAGGAATCACATTTGTGCCTAATTTTGTGCCCACATGAGTGCCTCCTCTCCCCTCCCTTTCCCCATCCTCCCCGCGTACAATCTGGTCCCACCTCCCTCCACACCTCTTGCTAGGCAGTGCCTAGTGTTCTGTCCCCTGTGTATTCTCCCAACCTGCCTGAATGTGTAAGGGAGACACAAAGGGCGGGCCAAGTCCTTACCCTGAAGGATAATAGCAACAGGAAAAGCCAGTGTTACTAGAATTCAGATGACCAGCGAACCCTCAGGAAGAACCAGAAGATAAGGGCGAGGGAATGTCCAAGGGTTGGAGCTTTATCCTCGGACTTCCCCTCACACTGAAGATGAAGGCAACACCAATGCGAGAGACCAGAGCTAGAAGAGGTCACAAATGGTCAGCTGGTTCTGCCTACTGGCATTAGTTACCTTGCTCATAAAGGCATCACCATACTGTTTTCTTTAGTTTTATTCTAATAGATGGGAGATTGCAAAGACTTAAAGCCAATACTTGAAGGATAAGTTAAGCCTCTCAGGACCCTCAATATTTAGTTCATTAGACACCAAAAGATAGTGGAATGATGACAATAATCATTAGGGGTGCTGTTTTTGCAAATGTTTTACAGGCTCCAAAGATGCTTTCCAGGACCTTTCTTTTTCCATACAATAGCCCTGTCTCCCACTCTTAATAGAATCCGGAGGTCTTTTCCCATGAAGAATTGGCACTTGTATTTGTGCATCTAGATGCTTATAAAAAGCAGTAGAAACAATGACAAACTGGCTACAAGTTAATTTACAAAATTTCCCTTCGGAGGCTCTTCAAATGGTGGGAGGAGAATGGCGATGAAAAGGGAATCCCGAGTCCTCCGAGCTATTTCTCCAACCATGCCTGGGGTGCCAGAGCTTCATAAGAGGTCATGCTCACACAAATGGGTTAATCAGTTTAAAAATATAAATTCTGTGAAAGCAGCCAGCAGTCATTCAGTTACTCCTCTGGGCATTTGAGTAACATTCAATATGACATTTACGTTGTAATTTCCTACTGGCTTTTTTTTTTCTATGAGTTGATAAGTTTTTTATTTCACAAAATGCATTTGCAACCATTTCAAATACATTTGAGATGTTGTAAGACTGGAATAATCAGTTCATGAATTTCTCCATGTGTTAAAACATTTTACGATAACAAAACCAATAATAATGGTAACGAAATAATGGCTGGTATTTATATAGCATTTTGAAGATTGCAAAGCATTCTACCCATAGAATATTCAAGAACCCCGAGACTGATTCTTCCAAAGCAATCCAAGGTGGATTACCTCTGCTGAAAATAAGTAACTGCTTCTATTTAATAGGGTTTTCAATTATTAAAACTCTTTGAATGCTGGGGGAAAGAAAAACCATTAAGATTTTGACCACTTTGCATTTGTTGTGCAAATGACATCCTACGTCAAAGAATTAAAATATTAATATTCTATGCTCTGATATAATATTTATTAGGTCCTTGTATTTACAAATAATCATGTGACTCCTTATACATATATTCATATGGCATCTTAGGTCATATTTTCTGGAAAACAGAGTGGTTTAAGTTCTTCAAAATGGGAGTTTTTTTTTTCCTTTCAAAATATCCTCAGGTTTCTTTTTCCCTTGACACTGTAATAAATAGTAATATTAAAGTAGCATTCATATTAAATGCAAACAATGATACACATCATCACCATAAAACACTTCTTCAATATATGTTGCTAGTCAACGGTCAGAATAATAACATATATTTCTAGCAAACCTAATATTGTTTGTCCTCTGTAATTCCCCTGCTAAATAACATAAGCTATTTCAGGAACTCCACTTACTAAATTTAGTGAAATTTTAACATTGTCAGAGACCACTAACATCATCCATAAGCTAAACCAAGGCTTTGGCAATTTTGTCCAAAAAGGGCATTAATTTTCAGAGAGTTCAGTGCTTTTGACATTAACCCTCAAGACAGAAAACAATTTACAAGTTGACAATCAACTACTTGGAATTACCCCCTTCCCCCTTTTTGGAGTGAATTTAGCTCAGCTGGCCCTGGTTGAAGCATTATCCAAAACACCAACCATTCACTTTTCCAGGGAGGCCACTAGCTGCTGGCTCAACATAACATGACAAAAATCGGACTCCCGTGGGTGAGGGAAATTGTAGCTTACCATTCTTCTAGATGGACAAGCACTCCTCAGCAGCCCAGCGCCGACTGATGCTTCTGGCTGGCCGGACCACAGCTGGAGAGCCTTATTTCAACTCATTTGCATATCATGCAATCATTCAAAACACATGGAGGAGTTTATGTCTCTGACCGCCAAAGCAAACCTGCATGCAGTTTCCTGTGAAGAGGAGGCGCAAGGCCATTAACTCTTTCATGAGGGAGGAGGAATAAACTGAAGATTTAGAAAAGCTGATACTTAAATTCCCTCACGCGCAATACAGACGTTAGCCAAGGGTTTCGTATTTTCATTCATAAGCTTTCTCACATGAGCATTAATCAGAGCTGATTAATACCTTGCAGGATCATAATTTTAGCACTGGGAGATGACCTTATAAGGATGACCTTATAGTCATCCTTCCCATAGGATCATAATAGCTAATAGCTAATATCGCTTTAAGGTTTGCAAACCATTTTACGAATAGTAACTCATTTTATTCTCACAAAAACCCTGGGAGATGTTATTACTATTCCTTATTTCACAGTTGAGGAAATAGGTTAAGTGACTTGACCAGAGTCATACTGCTAGTAAGTAGCTGAGGCTGAATTTGAGCTCAGGTGTTCCTGACTCCAGGCCCAGTGCACTATCCACTGAACCACATCCCTGAACCAGAGGATCATATATTTAGAGCTGGAAAGGCACGTCAGAAGCCATCTAGGCAACCTCCACCCCACCCCACCCCACCCTACCCTTTTTGCACTCTGTTGTTGTTGAGTCGACTCTCCCTGACCCCATTTGGCAGAGAGACTGGAGGGGTTTGCCATTTCCTTCTCCAGCTCATTTTACAGATGAGGAAATAGAGGCAAACAGGGTTAAGTGACTTGGCCAGGGTCACACAGTTAAGAAGTGTCTCAGGTGGGATTTGAACTCAGCATGAGTCTTCCTGACTCATGGTGCCACCTAGCTGTTCCACTTCACTTTAAAGATTAGGAAACTAAAGTCCAGAGAGGCTAATTCATTTGGCTAAAGTCACAAAGATAGTCAATAAGATAGGCAGGATTGGAACCCAGGTCCTCTGACTCCAAATCCAATTTTTTTCCCACTGTGCTCTACTTCCTCTCCTTCTCTATGTAGCAGGTAGAAAGTTAAGGGTGTGGGGACAAGAAATTCAGCTAGGGAGAGTCATAAGGAAGACTTGAACTCAGGAGTGTGTGGCTCCAAGGCTGAATCTCTAAGCTACCCTTCCTGGTTGCATCTCTCCCATCGAGTGTTTTTATCCCTGACTTATACATAGGTTATCCTAAAGCTGACTTGTCAGAAACTGGAGCAAATGAAGAGCTCTCTCACTGTCCTTTCTGTATAATGGGCAATGAAGTTTTAAACTACCAGCCTCCCGTTTCTTAGCTTTCTGGCATTCAGCGCAAAAAGAATGCCGCAGACACCCAGGAATGAAAGGGGAGTGACAGCCAAAATAAACATGACAGGTGTGACCTGAGTGCATTCAAACAAGCACTTTGAATTGCACCTAGAAGCAAGCTGCTCTTAATATAGACCAGGGCTGCTTCATCTCTTCTGTCTGGGACCTTGTGGGCAAACTGGTGAAGTCCATGGACCCCTTGTCCGAATCATGCTTTTCAATGCGTAAAGTAAAATACTCCATAGGACTGCAAAGGAAACCAATTATATTTGAAATATAGTTATCAACACTTTACATATAAATATATACATATCTACCCATCCATCCATTCATTCATCTATCTATCTTTCTGTCTTTCCATCTATTCATCCATCCAGTCGGCTATCTATGTATCTATGTATCTATGTATCTATGTATCTATGTATCTATGTATCTATCTATCTATCTATCTATCTATCTATCTATCTATCTATCTAT